GGGGCTCGCTGCCCACGCCCTCTGCCGCAGTTCTTGTTGGCAGAGCTGAACACCTTCTACCTGAAGTTCGTGCTGTGGCTGCCCCCCGAGCACTACCTGGTCCTCCTGCGGCTGGTCTTCTTCGTGAACGTGGGCGGCGTGGCCATGCGGGAGATCTACGACTTCATGGACGACCCGTGAGGGCCGCAGGCTGGGGCGGGACCAGCGGGGGGCGGAGCTGGCACCACCGCGCCCGCCCCAACCTCGAGCCCTCCCTCTGCAGGAAGCCACACAAGAAGCTGGGCCAGCAGGCCTGGCTGGTGGCCGCCATCACCGCCACGGAGCTGCTCATCGTGGTCAAGTACGACCCGCACACGCTCACGCTGTCCCTGCCCTTCTACATTGCGCAGTGCTGGACGCTCGGCTCCGTGCTGGTGCTCACCTGGACCGTCTGGCGCTTCTTCCTGCGGTGAGCAGCCCCCTGCGGCCCGCGCAGGCTGCCACCTGCTCCCAGCCGGGCTTTGACTGGGCGCGGTCCTGCGTGGTTCTGTGCTCCCCACTCCGGCCGAGCAGAGCAGTGTAGCGGGGCCTCTGCAGGCCGGCTGTCAGTGACACAGTCCCCACTGCCCCCAGGGACATCACCCTGCGGTATAAGGAGACCCGGCGGCAGAAGCAGCAGAGCGGCGGTGACCAGGGCGGTGCTGTTGGCCCCGTGGACGGGCAGCCGCCTGGACCGGGCGACCCCCCGGAGCCAGCGCAGGCTGAGAGGGAGGGGGCGCCGGCTCTGAACTGACACCGCCCTTCGTGACCACCGGGACCCTGGCCTGCTGTCCCCGCACCGTGACTCCCGCCGGGAGCCTGACGGGCCTCGCCTCCTGGGTCTTCCCTCTTCTCTGTGCGTGTGCATGACGGGCTCAGCGAGGAGGGCGTGAAGGCGGTCCAGCCCAGGCTGCGGTGTGCGTGCGGCATGTGTGCATGCGTGTGGCGTGTGCGGGGGACGCGTGTGAGGGTGCGTGTGTGTAAGAGTTGTGCCTCTCGGGCTGGCAGGTGTGGCTGGGGTCTCTGCGTGGTCGGCCCACTGGCCTCTGGGTCCACACCAGGCCCTTGGGCCCCCTTTCTCCCTGCTGGCGCCCGTTGGCCCCCTGGCGGCCTGTGTCGGTGCCCAACCCACGGACACGCGAGGTGGCGGAGACAGGTGGACACATGCGGCCCGGAGCCGCTCCCTTGGAGGCTCCCTCCAGCTCCACCAACACGGAGGCGTGTGCACGCGGCAGAGGGCGCTGTGGCGTCGCGTCCAAAGCTCCAAGGCCCAGGGGCCCAGGGTGGGCAGAGGGTCATGGGGTCTCTGGCCTGGACCCAATGGTCATCTCCGTGAGCAAACAGAATAAAGCAGCAGTGGCCTGCGGCTCGTGTCCTTGGCACTCCCAGCCCCGCCGTGCACCCACGCCTGCCTCCCTGCGACGTCTCCCAGATGGGGAGAGAGCCCGGCGGGCAGGGCTGCTGGGCCCAGACAGACCTCCCACCCCAGCTGTACCCTCAGTGGAACCTGGGTGTGGGTGCGGCTGCTCTGAAAAGTAACCCATAAGTGAAAAGAGCTCCGGGTCCCCAAGTCCCCACCCCGGCTGTGAGGACCCTCCCTGCCCTCTTGGGGTGGACCCAGTCTGCCCCCAGGAGGACTCTGGCCTCAGACGGCTGGGTTTCCTTGGTTTAGGGGGAGTCAGAACTGTAGAGATGAGAACAGGCCTGGTGCCTGGGCCTGTGGGTATCGGGGCGGCCGTGGAAGGGCTGCCAGCCACGGGCACGCTGCGCGTGCACTTGTCCCGGCTGTGCCATGGCGGCAGCTCACCTCACCAATTCACATGATCTTGAGGCTTCTCTGCCAGCTCCCCAGCCTTTGTCTCCCGTGGCCCTGGCGCTGTGGGAGCATGGGCCACAGTCCCGGGGCACTCACAGCGGGTGCTTGGGACCGCTGGGCACTGCTAGTGGTGACGGGGCCTGGCACGTCCTGAGGCGCGCCCTTGGCCGGCTTGGCTGTACTACGTGGAGGAGCTGCGTCGGCACCAGATACGTAGTCCTGTGCCCCCAGCACCACTGGTGGGGGTGGTGGCGCCTCACGCACCATCACTGCTTCGGGCCTCAGCCTCCCTCTCTTCAGTGGGGGAGGTTTGGTGGCCTCTCGCTCCCCTTGTCCCAAGCCCGGCTCAGGCAGTCCGCGGGTCTCGGTACTTGTGGTCTCTGGCACGAGATGCCACAGGCTCACCTTGTGCGTGTCCTGCCTCGTTCCTGGCGGGGCAGGGGTCACAACTGGAAGCTGCACGTGGGGCTCTGAAGGGCTGCCATGGCGCTGGACACTGGAAGCTGCTGTGTCCAATGGGTCCCTCCTGCCTGCCAGTCAGGGCAGGTCACCCGTGTTGGCAAGATGAGGCCAGCTAAACTTGAGGGTGGAACTTGGCCCCCCGTCCCAAGGCCGTAGGCTCTGCTCGCCCACCACACAGGGCTGCTGGCTGCGGCAAGCCCGGCTCCCGAGGGCTGCGCTTCCCACCCGCCTCGGTGTGGCGGCCCTCGCCGAACTTCCAGGACAGGCCCCGAGAAAGTGACGGAGGCAGCCGCCAGGACCCAGGACGTGAACTGTTCTGGCTGCTAAGTCTGTGGTCTGGGGCAGCAAGACTGTCCACAGGGGCACCCCACCCAACACGGGGTGTCTCGCGGGAACCGCACAAGAAAGGACAAGGATCCTCTTGCCTAAAAAGTGCTTTAATAGTTATAAAGTGTCCAAAATTTTCTTCCCTAAGTTGACTTGATTTTCTCTTCAGTCAGAGCTGACACTAGAGTCCCTAGGGCTGACCAGGCGCCCATGGGGGACAATGGCGGGCGGAACAGGTTTCCAGAGCTGGGGCCGGGGGCCTCAGGAGATGATCTTCAGGCTCGGCTTGCTCTCCTCCAGGGCCCGCAGGCGGTTGTCTGTGTCCTCCATCCAGTAGGTGTCGAATAGGCTGCACAGAGGTCAGGGAGTGGGCTGGGACCATGGCCTGTGTCACCCTGTCCCCCCGCTCCGGCCACACCGCCCACCACAACTTTGTCACTTACACCAGCTTCTCCAGCATACAGCCGGGCTGCTGGAGGCTCTCCGCCAGCTGCAGGACGCCCACGTCGCTCATACAGTTGTTGCTGAGGTCCAGCTCACACAGACTGTGGTTGGCCAGCAGGAGCGAGGCCAGGCTGCTGCAGCCGTTGTTGGTCACCTCGCAGTCCCCCAGGCTGGGCAGAGAGCAGGGCAGAAGTCAGAACAAAGGCCACACCCCCAGGCTGCCACTAACGGGCCAAGTGACCTGGGCCTGCACCAGCACCTGAACATGGAGGGTGAGGGGACCCACACGCCACCATGCCCACGGACCCTGAAACACGTGCACGTGGCACGTCAAGACCCCGGATCAGAGCTGTCACCCAGACCTCAGCCTTGAGCATGTGGCTTTCTCGGTGGCCTTGAACGAACCGCAAAGGTGGGAAGGGCACTCAGAGCTCTGCACAGTGACAGCGGCAGTCACGGACTGACCTGAGGCCGCAGGCACGTCCCGGACTTAGGCCCCCAGCCTCCGCTGGCAGAGTTGGGCACCCAGGGGCCTCTGGGAGGGGACACGCTGCATGACGAGGGAGGACAGCAGAAAGGCAGTTTGGAGGCGGCTGTCTCCCCCAGAGGGCCTCACCTGTACCCCTCACTTCCTCACTACCTGAGAGCCAGGGGCCGGCGTGGGCAAGCCGGCGAAGGTGGCAGCCACAGAGGCCGAGGGGAGGGGCAGGTGGTGGTGACAGGAGATGCCCAGCGCACCAAGGCCTCCAGAATCCAGGGAAAGGCTGTGGGGACCAGCCACACAGCTGGACGGGCTCAGCCTTCAGGGCTAGGGCTTCCCACACCCAGCTTCAACATGTGCTCCACCCAGGATGACCAGGTGTCCTCGAAAGCCACCAGAGAGAGGCACAGACCAGGACACAAAACACACGAAGTAAAAAAAAATGGGCGACGTGGGCCCAACCCTGACCCCTAACGGGGGGCTCCTGAGCGCTGTAGGCAGGCAGGCCATCAGAGGCCTGGCCACGAGTCCGGCACCAAACGAACCGGGCCCACGTCGGACAAGGAGCTCTGAACCCCAAAACACGACAGGTGGCCCCACAGGAAGCAGATGAGACAAAGGGTCCCAGCAGACGGGACTCAGCCCGGGGGCCTCGTCCTCCTGGGGGCAGAAGCCAGGCCCCGGGACTGCCCCTCGGAGTCCGCTCCGGAAGCGCTAAGAGGTGGAAGTTAGCAAAAGCAGACGGGATCCCGAGGGACATGCAGAACTGGGCTCCTGCACGGGAGGGAGGGCCGGTGACGAAGGGAACCGCGCCAGCATGCCACAGCATGCGCACACGCTCGGTCACGCACGCTCACCAGAGCACCCGCAGCACCGCGCCGGGCTGGCCCAGGCCCTGGCAGAGCTGCTGCACGCCGGCGTCCCCCAGGCTGTTGCCACTCAGCTGAAGCTCCAGGAGCCGCGTGTTCCGGGCCAGCATGGCGCTGAAGTGCTGGCAGCAGGCGGCCGTGAAGCCGCAGGACTTCGCCCTGTGGGAGACGGACAGGACTGGGCCACGCCTCCGGGTCTCTGGGGAGTCACCTACACCCCCACCCCGAGGGCCGCTGGCGCCTTCCCACCTCACAGGGGCACCTGCAGCTCGACGGCCGCTCCTGCTCCTGCGTCGCCCTCAGGAGCAGCAGTGCGCCTGGGTCCTCAGCCCCGGCACTGTCCCCACCAGGCCCCATCTCCCTGCTCACAGGGCCCCTCCCCTTGGGGGTCTTCGTCCCGCGCTCACCACAGGGACTCCAGGTGGCAGCTGGGCGCCAGCAGGCTCTCGCACAGCAGCTGGGCGCCCTCATCCCCGACCGCATTGCCGGCCACACTGAGCTCCTTCAGGCTCCCCTTGGCCTTAAGGACACGGCAGAGATCTCTGCAGCCACTGGCCGTGATGTCACACTCCCAGAGCCTGCAGGAGGAGGCCTGGTCACTGCACAGCCACCAAGGGCCACACCGGCCCAGTGCAACATTCTTGGGCACTCCCCGTGCCACCTGCCACAGCCCTGGGAGAGAGCTGGCGGGGGGAGGGGGCGGTGCCCAGCAAAATAGCGTGTCAGGGCTACTCCAGACCCTCCGGCCAGCTGTCCAGAGACCAACTCACCACAGGGTCCGGAGCTGGGAGCTGGGGCTCAGCAGCCCGGGGCACAGCTTCGCGATGCCTGCGTCACCCAGCTTGTTGTCGCCCAGCTCCAGCGTGCACAGGGAGGCCTTGGAGGCCACGATGCTGCCCAGGTCCTGGCAGCTGGCCAGCGTGAGGTTGCAGCCCTCCAGCCTGAGGGCACAGGAGGCGCTGTGGCAGCTGCCCCATCCCCCACCCCCGAACCACCCCCCAGACCCGGCCTCACCTGAGCGACTCCAGAGGGGAGGCAGAGTCCGCCAGGCCGCGGCACAGGGCCCGCACGCCGGCATCGCCCAGGTCATTGTTGCTCACCATGAGCTCCTTGAACTCCCGCTTGGCCCTGAGCACCGCGGCCAGGGGCTCGCAGCTGGCGGCCGTCAGGTTGCAGTACTCCACCCTGGGGGCCGGCGGGCAGTCATCCCAGCGCCCGGGGCGGTGTGGTCCAGGCGCATCCCTCAGTCTCCCCCCTGCCCCCGCAGACACCCAGGCCCTCCCGGACACCACCCACTGACCAGCAGCGCCGCCCCAAGCTCCGCGTCCAGGGGCCTCCACGTGGGCCTTCCCAGCTCAGCCTCCTGCCTCTGTGGAGCCCGCCTGCCTGCTCACTGTGCCAGGCTGCCCCAAACTCAAGTGAAGGGCACAGGCCAGCTGCCAGCTCCTTCCAGAGGAAATGTCACCAAGGAGGAACATCTGCAGGCCCCCGAGAGCCCCCTCCTTCAACATTCCCTACAGCCAGTGTGCCAGCAGGGTACCTGCCCAAGGGACAGGTGGGTGCAGGGCTGGGGGAGGGCAAGGAGAACTCACTGCAGCCTCTCGATGTGGCACTGGGGGTCCAGGAGGCCGTCGCACAGGAGCCGCAGGCCTGCGTCCCCCAACGGGTTGTTGCTGAGGTACAGCTCACGCAGGGTGGGCACGGAGCGCAGCGCGCCGGGCAGGACCCCACAGCCAGCCTCTGTCAGGCCACAGTTCTGGACGCTGTGGGAGCAGCATGCGGCCGTCACAGGGGCGCCACGCAGCCCGGCCTTGCGGACGGGCCTCGCCTGCGCCTCCCGCGGTCGGGCTCTCGGGGCCACCTGCAGCGGGCAGGGGGGCCTCAGATGCGCCTCAGGCACGAGGAAGCTGGGTCTCCGCACGTCGACCCTCACTGGGTAGCAGGGCTGGAGCTCACCTGAGCTTCTGGATCTTGCAGGTGGGGCTGTGCAGGCCCTGGAGGAGCAGCCGCATGCCGGCGTCGCCCAGCTCATTGTTGCAAAGGTTGAGCTCCGTCAGGGTGGGGTTGTCCCCGAGGGCAGAGCTGATGTCCTTGCAGCGCCCTTCCGTGATGCCACAGTCGATCAGCCTGCGGACGAGACACTCAGATGGCCAGATCACGTGGCAGATTGTGACCCAGAAATGAGCCAAGAACAGGGTGGGTCACAACCACGATGTTGTAAGTGAAACAGAGTGACCGGACCAGACGGCCAGCCAGGGCCCGAGCACGGGACTGGAGCAACAACGAACTGCGTGGGACACTGAATGCGAGGGGGTGGGGGGGACGCCAGCTCTTGCTCACAGAAGGTGACAACTGACAAATAGAAGGAATGACGCCATTAAAAGCCCCAGTGAGGCAAAGGCCCAGCCACATCCATGGTGGCAAGCTCTGCCGAGGGAAGCTAAAGTCGCAAGGCAACACTGGGCAGACACAGGACACGCACGGAATACAGGGTGTCTCACCCCAGCTACGTGTTAGAGGGAAAAGCAGCAGAGAACTGGCACGCACCCCCTTAACAGGTGGTCACGTGATGGGGCAACCACGTGGTGTCACTGGGACCATACACTCCACAATATGATGTGCCTGGCAGAGCGAATATCTCTGTATTCTTGCCCAAAATGTGTGGCTCAGCCAAGGGAAGACATCAGAGGGACTTTCTCCAGACCTGAGCCGACCCAAGAGGCAGATAGCCAAGGACAAGGAAGGACAGAGGGGCCGTCCCAGATGGCGGGGCCAAGGAGACGTGATAACGAATGCCACGGAGGACCCTGAACGAGGACAGGAAAAGATACTGGGAAAGCTGGTGACACTGGTGTCAGGGCGGCTGTGTGGGGCTCCTCGTTCTGACCAGGGCCCCAGGGGATGGGGTGCTGACTTCAGGGGAAGCGGGACACAGGGCGCCCCAACTGTCTTGAGAACTCTTCTGAGAACCTAGACCGATTTCAGACCCGTTAAAGAGACAACAAGCAGGCAGCTTCTCTCTCGGTGAGAAGCCCGAGGACTACTGGGTCTGAGGACAAGCAGGGATGGACACAGCGGACTGAGCCCTGCCCACCAGGCCTGAGCCGGGAACGGGCGTCCGCTTTCAGATGACTGGGAAAAAAGAAGACAGCATTTCACGGCCCGTGAAAGCCACAGTGTACCTCCTACCTCCAGAAGCGGAGGGGCCTTCGCAGCGTGCCCACCTGTGGGCCCCGGCCTGCCGGCCACCCTGCAGGAACCGGGCGAGAGCGTCCCTACCTGACCACCTGGTGCTGCTGGATCAGCGGCAGGAGTTCTGTCCACCGGGCGTCACTCAGCTGCTCGAAGTGGATGTCGAGACTCATGGTGAGGGATGGGGAGTTTTCTGGGCGGAAGGCAGAGGGAGGAAGAGACGATTTTAGCCCAAGTGTCACGGTTTGAGGGGCCGGACATCCTGCAGGTGGGCTGACGTCGCGGGAGACGCCTCGGCCTCCCCCGGGCCCGCGCTTTCTTTCCTTCCCTCAGCCCCTAGGAGCGGGAACGGGGGAGGGCAAGGGGCTGTGCCCACTGGCGAAGGCCACCGCGGGCCACAGTTCTGGAGACGTGGCTGTGGGAGCAGAGGCTGCACTCACCCTCCAGCCTCCCGCACCCCTCTTTTTGGCACCCCCTGCCCCAGAGCGGGCCGGGACCTGCACCTGCCACCTGAAGCCCCTGCCTCTCATTTGCCTGGACAAGGATGGGGTGGGAGACGTGGCCTGTGAGCCTGGACACAAGTGTGGCCCCCAGCCAGGTGCACAGGACTGGCAATCTGGCGATGCCAGGGAAACTGACAACAAGAGGGGTGCACTGGCTAGGCCGTCCACAGAGCCAGAGGCCCCCCAAGACACGAGCACCCTAGGCCTCATCACCCTGAAGCAGGTTGGTGTGAGGGACAGGTTCCTGTGGTCAGGTAACAGTTCCCCAAGAGGCACCAGCCACAGGAGCCTAGAACAGAACACAGCAGGTGGAGAGGGTACCGAGGCCCAGTGGCCTGCACACCCTGGGTGGCCAGCTTCTGCTACCCCTTTCCAGGGGCTTGGGACTCTGCACTGGCCAGGGAACATCCTCTGCCCCGCCCTGGCTGTGAGGCAGGCTGGGCAAGGAGTGAGGCCTGTGGCCAGCGGTCGATGGGAGCAGGTCACAGGCCCTCCAACCTCACTGGGGACTGGTCGGAACCTGAATAAACGAGAAGCCTGTGGCCTTGAAGGCGGGACCAGCAGAAGGGCCTGGCAGCAAGCCGGGGGCTGTTTCCTTCAAGAGCCACAGAAAGCCCTGGAAATGATCTGGGCCGCCTGGGGGAATGGCCCTGCCCCACAGGGTGACTCAGCCTGTGCGAGGTCCTGGTTCCCTAAAACCCCTGGCTTCCTGAGAACACTGTGTCAGGCATCTGTGTCCCAGCCTGGCACTGCCTGGCCTCACTGCAGGCTCCCTCCTCCCTCGCCTCCAACCCAGGGCGGCTGGTCCAGGGCCGGCTGGTCCAGGGCCCACAGTGGGGAGGGCTGGCTCAGCAAGGTTCCAGTTAAAAAAAATGAGTGCAACCAGCAGGCAAAACTCATGTTTGCAGGTCCCAGCAGATGGCCCTACTGAAACCGGGGAGGGTGTCTGACTGGTCATGGTCACCCAACTGTCACCCGGAGGACCCAGATTCCACCCAGCCCACTGCCCAGAGCATGTGAGCAACACTGAACCCGCCCTGATGGGAGACCAGGGTGCGGTCACCCCAACCCTGACTCAGAATCCTCAGTCACGGTGGAGGAGAGAGGCCAGGGGAGCGGGGAGATGAGGGCTGCTGGACCCTCCCCTGCAGAGGGACCGTCTGAGCCTCCGGGCCCACACTGCTCTCCAAGCTGTGCCCTCCCCCGAAATCCAGTCTGAGGTTAACAACCAGGACAGAAAAAGGGCACCCATGAGCTGAGGCATCCCCTCGGGGCTTCACTAGACATTGGGGTGTCCCCTTGGTTGAGCCTTTGGACCAGGAGGATGTTTCTTAATCTCTGGGGATCAACGATCCTTTTTGAAAATCCTCTAAAAGATGCCCCCAGTTAAGGTCCCTGAGGTAGAACCGGACAGGCACATCTCAGGCCCACGGGCTCATGGGGAGTCGCCCCCCCGCCCCCCGCCGCCCCCAGCTGGGCTGCTCCCTATAGACCCAGATTCCACCCAGCCCACTGCCCAGAGCATGTGAGCAACACGGAACCCGCCCTGATGGGAGACCAGGGTGTGGTCACCCTCGATTGAGTCTTTGGACCAGGAGGATGTTTCTTAATCTCTGGGGATGGTTGAGTCTTTGGACCAGGAGGATGTTTCTTAATCTGGGGATCAACGATCCCTTTGAAAATCCTCTAAAAGTTCCCTGAGGTAGAACCGGACAGGCACATCTCAGGCCCACGGGCTCATGGGGAGTCGCCCCCCCGCCCCCCGCCGCCCCCAGCTGGGCTGCTCCCTATAGACCCAGATTCCACCCAGCCCACTGCCCAGAGCATGTGAGCAACAGTGAACCCGCCCTGATGGGAGACCAGGGTGTGGTCACCCTCG